TGTGTCACATTTAGGAGGATCTACTGTCAGAAATGGAATATAATATTCATAGGTATGTTTCCATTAGTGTACAATCACCTGAAAATAAGAATCGTTGTGTTTTTGTTTCCTTAGAATGAGCTGTTTTTATCTGCAGAGGGAGCGGGTCCTCTTCTATGGAGGCTGGCATGTTGAACTGCCATATTTCTACTGTAGCCCAGAAAGGACAAACCCAACACTGACTCTAGATAGTGTCTTTTTCAATTTTTTTTTTTTTTTTTCATTTGTCCTACACACATCGTTTTTTTTTTAATTCCCAGGTTGTCAAATACAAACACAAGCGATGTTAGTTGCAATTTGCAGCTTCACATAAACAAGCCTAGCTATGTGCCAGTGTTGTATTTAGAGTGTGCGAATGCAGGTTTGAAGATATTCAGTCTTAGAAAGATTAGAATATCTTTTTTGAATACAATCCTGTGTAACAGCAGATGTAAACTGATCTGCCTGGTAGCAATGGCAAATAAATATACTCACAGGTTTTTTCCTCAAAGCAAGAAGATAATATAGACTAACATGAGATTAAAACCCACTGCATGGACAGAAATTAGATTGCAGAGTCACATATAGAGGATGCCTGAAAGCTTGATTTCTGCATTATGTGTGGTGTCGAAAGCAGAAAATGGATAGAAAATCCATTTAGTGACAGATACAAATGACAGATACAAATGTAATCTTTTTTCAACATTGAAAATAATCCTGTGCTTCTAAGTTTGCTTTCATTTATTAGGTTGTGTATGGTAAAAGAGCAAATTGACCACCCAGATATTTTCTGTTAAACTGTAAAGTTGGGTCACAAAGATCCCAGAGGAAGGAGGATGAAAGAGGATGGAGCACAGTTTGGGTATAGAGACTTGTGCCAATAAAGAAAATTGGAACTGAAAGGGGCAGAGGGTAGAAGCAGGGGGAGTCCATCACTGTCAAGCCCTGAGTGCAAAAATCATTCATAAAAGTCTGTTATTTTTCTCTAATGTTCTCCAATTGGAGGAATGCCATTATGGATGCAAGCAGACTGTATTTGTCAGCTGGGGATTTAGAAAGAAAATCAAGACAAGGTAATGAGTCTGGAGTCGCTCTAAATGTCCCACTGTTGCCGTGCCAGGCCACAAACAGCATTTACTGTTAATTACTGAGCACCTATTTAGAAGCAATTGCCTTAATGATGTAGTCTGCGATACAGCTCAGTTTGGAGCTAATTTGTATTCCACTTACATACTCATAGCCAAATGACTTTATTGTAAACATAAATTAAGATTGTAATATTGACTTAAATCTATCTATATTATAATTATTAAAAAATTAAAAATGTTTTATATTAGTTGTAAGGTTGAAAGACCACATACTGGGAAAATAATAGTCAGTTTCATTAATAATGGTCCAAAGATGTTGGCCAAAGTTGTTAGTCTTTCCAAGTGAACTAAGTTTAGATAAGACTGTTAAGTTAAGTAAATTAAAAAGTTTAGTATTGTGTCATTTATCATGTTTCATTGTGATATCAGCAGTGTACCTTGGTGTTCAACAGAGAATTCACTGTGTTGATATCTGTAACAGCTACATCAGAACAGAGCTGAATGCTGGTGTTTTCTGGTCTGTTCTGATACTTTTTGCATTCAGCTTGGCCTTTAAAGCTGCATTAATTAATATTTTGATATTAACAGTGGATCAAATAAGTGTGTGTAATGTCTTAGCAGTCATAGTGAAGAACTGACCGAGAATTATCCCCTGGCTCTGCAGTTCCCCCTCAGCGTTTTAGTGTCTTTCTGCATTGTTTTGGTTTTACAGCCCAACACTTTACTGTTGTAGATCACTCACCGCTCTCAGCAACCTTGTTTTTGGACATAGCAGGCAGCTGTTTTTAGCAAAAAAGCTCTGATAAAATCAATGTGCACAGCAATTGAGAGCAAACAGACAAAGTTAGTGACTAGGGGTGAACATAGAGGGGTAGCTGGTTGGTGGCGGATGTGTAAATAGGCAACTTTCGCCCTAGCAACTTTAAAGGTGATAATCCGACAATATCAGTGCTAGTGCTGTGATTGTGGGACATAAAATTTGATACTTTATTAAGTCCTGTATTGTGCAAGTCCCCAGACCTAACATTGCCTGTAAGAATATTCAGGTCAATGCAAAGGTCATTGCTTTGTTGGAAAACTTTTAATAAAGAAAGAAAAAAGGAACTGACATAAAAGCCGTAGGCAACAAACATGGCTCCATCCTCTCCATTGAGAACTCCATCCTCAAGTCACCCTGGCCATTTTAATGCACTGAAACCTCCACAGATAACAGAGTGTATTGCAAATAATTTATGGAGTATTGAGACAGTTTTCCTATTTAGAACACTTGTGTTATACCACATGTATATTACGGAATCTTTAACACAGGTTTTATGTCATTTTCAAGCTTTTATTCCTTCTAAAAAAGAATTGAAATGTTTCCAACAGGCCAGATTTTCCTACCTACGTATGAAGTACCTGTTCTTCTCCTGGCTGGCAGTGTTCGTGGGAAGCTGGATAGTGTACGTAGAGTACTCTTCCTACACAGAGCTGTGTCGTGGGCACGACTGCAAAAATTCAATAGTGAGTATTTTATTTCTCATATACATCAACTCATCCAGACCTTGTCCTATATTCTCTACTCCAGATAATATTGTTGCTATTCAAGTTCCCTTTTTGCAAGTTTACAGTACTTCTATTTGTGTTTTTCAGTGTGACAAATACAGAAAAGGAGTCATTGACGGCTCAGCCTGCAGCAGCCTGTGTGAGAAAGACACGCTTTACCTGGGGAAGTGTTTCACTGCCAAGCCCAAGAGCCAGGTCAGTCTTCTTTAAAATCACACACTCCTCTCAGTCTGCTTGTCATTAATCGGGCTGCACCTCAGGCCTAGCTTGTTTATTTTAGGTGTACTCAGGGAGCTGGGGCGACCTGGAGGGAGTCATTAAGTGCCAGATGGAAGAGGCGCCTCATTATGATTTGGGAAGTGAGATGGAGCCAAGGAAGGAGGCTGCGGCCTTCAACAAGCCCACCAAGGGGACCTCTGTGGAGAAGTTCAGAGAGATGATCCTCAACCACCTAAAGGTCAGGAAGCACTCATTAAACACTGGATAGACTAGAATCCAACACTGAGTTGGTCTTAAACTTGTTTTCATTCTTTACAGGCTAAAGTGGGGGATCAGGCCAACCTCGCAGACCTGGCAACCCAGGTATTATCCATAACAGATGCCAATAAGGATGGACACATCTCACTGCCTGAGGCTCGCTCCACGTGGGCTCTGCTGCAGCTCAATGAATTCCTCTTAGCTTTAGTTCTGCAAGACAGAGAGCACACGCCCAAGTTACTGGGCTTCTGTGGAGACCTGTATGTGATGGAGAAGGTGCCATATTCTCCGCTGTACGGGATCAGCCTACCCTGGATCATAGAGGTGTGGATTCCTGCCGGTCTGCGTCGCAGCATGGACCAGTGGTTCACCCCCTCCTGGCCACACAAGGCCAAGATCTCAATCGGACTGCTGGAACTGGTGGAGGACGTTTTCCACGGCACTTTCGGCAGCTTCCTCATGTGTGACGTGAGCGCTACCAGTTTCGGCTACAACGATCGCCATGACCTGAAGGTGATGGATGCACGGTACATTGTTCCTGAAGCAGTCTTCCAAGAAGGCATTAGGCAGCAGCGCTGCGATGTGGACGAGGATTGTCTCTACGGGGCAGACTGCCTCACTTCCTGTGACCTCACAAAGCACCGCTGCACACCCGAGGTCGCCAGGCCAAACTTAGCCAAAGCCTGTGAAGCACTCAAGGACTATATTCTCAGAGGTGCTCCATCTGACATGAGAGAGGAGCTTGAGAAGCAGCTGTACGCTTGCATCGCACTGAAAGGGTCAGCAGAACAGATGGAAATTGAGCACTCACTAATTCTGAATAATCTCAAGACTTTGCTATGGAAGAAAATATCTCATACTAAAGACTCCTAATGAATAAACAAACAGGCACAGAGACCGATTCCTGTCCCATAAAGTTTTTAAATATCACTGACTGTTTTCACTGTGGAAACAAGTATACGATTCCCCTTATATTCACCTGTACATGTATTACTGATGTATTTTATCTTTAAGCAGTTGTCAAGGAATGTCACTTTCATATTAAATTATGTAATACGTAAACTTTAATATACAATATATAAGTGCAATTTTTTGAAACTGACAAATCAATAAATTTTACTCGTCTAGTCTTTTGTGATTTTTCATTCACCTTTACTTGAACCGCTCCCATTTAGACAAAAGCCACTCAAAAGACAACTTGTGTCTGAAATGCAAATCAGCCTATAAACCACAGTGCCACTGAGTGGTTAGGATGCATTAAAACTACCATATATACAAGTAAAAATCCCCAAATAAAAAGGGATCAAGAGGCCCCTGATGCTGCTAATAAAGCATACATGAAGTGCAATATGACAAAGTACACAAGAGGATTGACTCTTTTTCGATAGATTTATTACGAACAAATTCTGTATCTGGAACAGAGCAGACCGACGCCTCAGTCTGAAGCCTCCTGTTCCTGAGCCCGGAGGAAGCTGGCCTTCTTCTGGGCGACACGGTCTTTCCTCTGGGCCAGAGAGAGCTTGGCACGGTTCCACCTAGGTCACAAACGAGCACAATTAGCATTTGCAGTTTTTGGAATACTCGTAGCAGAGCTGCTGCGTAAAGACCAGTTCAAAAAGATATTTTTAAGATGTCTACAGATCTCACCTCTTCTTCTTGACCTCTTTGGGAGGCTTCTTTTCATGGACAGGGTTCTCACGAATGGTAGCATGAGCCTTTTTGTACATTTCCTCAATCTGAAAGAAAGGCAACCAGTCAAATTTACTTCACATCTCATTTGTGGGTACAATTTATTCTTCACTCACATGCATGATAAATACGGTTAAGATTTCTTGTAGATAAATTCAAAAGATTCACTTTAACTTTCATTAAGACATTTGTAATGGTACTTCAAAACTGCATTAGCTTAACGCCGAATCCATAGTCCATATTTCAGGATACATTTAACAAGCATCCCAAGATGTTTCTTCCCCAGTGGTGGGCCATTAAGGGCATATCGCCAACCAAGCATCTTACACCTAGCTTGCCACACACCCTGCTCCTCTCCTGTGCTAACAGCTAGTGCAGCACAAGTCACCAACAGTCAAAATCTCATTTAGGAAAATGTTCTGCCTTTCATGTAGTAATTAATAAAGGCAGGGATTATTATGATTCATCAGTGGATTTAAAAACCTTGTCGAAAGGTAATTAGTTTAAAGGACATGCCATGCTATTTTAAGAGGCTATTCTGATCCTGTTGAGGGACAGATCAGAACCGCACCTTAAAACGTGTGCACTGAAGCTACCAAGGCCTGAGTGTGTATATGAATAAAACATTTTATTCAGCTTTATTCTGTCATTGGGATTATGAAGTTCTCCAAGCATAAGTCTTTAATATGAATTACTTGGACAAATAGACCCACGGCATAACACTGGGGCGATGGCTGAATTAAAGCTGGTTATTTTAAAAAAAGGGTACAAGACAATCATCTATTACAAGTATTGACTGGACCAAATTCAGATTGATTTGGTGCTTTTCATTATACTTTGCGTAAGGATGCGGTCACTGCACCGCAATCCTGACTGACTCATGAAGAATTACTGATGGCCGTATGTGAAATTTGTCACAAATGAGACAGTTGATTGTTGGAACCGGGTTACCTCGTGACCATGTAAGTTCACACAAGGGCACATCTCAAAACATCACAAATAAAAGGAGTCCTGGTCCAACACATCTCTGACGGGATCAATTAGAGCTCAAAAACACCATCTGCCTCCCGGATACAGCGTAATACAGAGTGGAAAGGCAATTTAACAACAGATAAAAAGGACTTGCCGAATCAGGGGTGACTCCATTCTTGATGAAGCGGGAGAACTGCTTCTTGTAAGCATCTTCATCCTCCTCCATCAGATAGCTCATGTACTCAGACACGTTGGTGCCCATGATGTGTTTGCGGTGGACCTCAGCGTTGAACTCCTTGCTCTCTGGATCATACCCAGGGAAGCGCTTGGTGCTGGTGGGAAAAAAAAGAAAAGAAAGGGGGTAAATCTCAAGGTAAATCTCAAGCATGTTTAGTGAAACAAACAGACATTTAAAATCACCAGGCAGAACCTCTAGACATGTCAAGGCACAATGAACACAGTATTACATTGTGTGCACAATTCATCTTTTACTCATGAATCATTAAAATTGCTCTATTAAATTCCAAATGCAGCCCATTTACACCTGTATCATAACATCTCACCAGGCTCTTGCATTCACACTGGGTATTAATTATTCTCATTTGTATTCTGTCCGCACTGACTGGATCATCGCAGTGTGAAAATGGCAAAAGGCGAGCAGGCTTGATGTCAGCTGTCAACCTGTCAGCTGCTGTTTCTAACTTATTCTCTCACGAATGCAAGCAAACTGTACCGACTGCTTTTAAACCTGGCTGAGAATATAAATTACACTACATCCACATGTGGCCAGGCAGATTCACTACACCGCAACTGAAATGCATACTGTATTCAGGTACAGAAGGCATTTTTATGCTACGTTGAAACAGGACATTTGAACTACCGGAAACTAAATTCACTATATTGATTTTTGCAACCATACAACTGGCATTTAGTTCCCTTAGGAGGCATCCAGCTACTGAGTGCAAACATGTTTTATAGTATCCTTTTAGTATTGCCTTGACATTTTTTACTGTGCACCATCAATTGATCTACTCTTAGAATGTCTTAGTACTGCTAGGGCACACATCAGCTCTGAACAGGTAACTTTCAGCCCGAGCATTCATCCTGCGTTGGGCCCATTCATGAAACTCCTTGCCCCTCTACAGATGGGACTTTTCAATGTTATTTCCAACCCTAATAGCGATGCCTGCGTGGGCAGTGTGTGACCAACATTGCCTGAACAGTGGTCAGGACGGGGACTGCAGAAGAGGGTTGGACAATGCACATTAACCCTTTCAAATGGACTATGGTGTTTTTTTTTTTTAACCACATCACTGTCTGTCTGAAAGGGTACATAATCTAATGGACAGTGTTATTTCTAGCTGTCACTGATTTTTTCAAGGCCCATTTCATGCAAAGAAATCAGTGTTTAAGCAGCTGGCTGATTAGTTGAAACTGATCATAGCTCGATATCTGACAGCAGTCTCAACACATGCCCTGAAACACATTCCCATTACACCTTGACAGCTGAGAGCGAACACTTATCCGTCATTCCTAACCTGCATTCGCCACACTACAATTCTGACAGCAAACCTCAGTTCCAGTAATGACGAGTTCAAGTGTGCAGGCAACTGATGAGCTTTTGAGTGTCAATTAGAAACCAAACTAATTCCACTGACCTGCATGAATAGGCAGCAGACATTTTGACTTTTCATAGGCATCAACAATGCCTTGTTCTAATCAAGTGTCCTAAATGGAATCCTGCCATCATTAATTATACTGTTTTTATTTATAATATACTGTGTTTCTTACTGTGGCATGCCAATATATCTTCCATGAAAAAAAAATAAACTGACATTTTCTATAAATAAAAAAAACAGACTTATTTATCATTTACAGACTTGAGTTAAATTCTAGAAGTGTGCCAAGCAAGGTCTTATGCATCATTCCTTCCAAATGAAAACTTGTTTTGAAACAAAACCCCTTTCCCCCGCCACGCAGCCATCATTGCTACACACAGCATTCAATAAAATTCAACACCTGTGACAGGAAGTGGGACGGGTTACCTGTGTGGGATGGACAGTCCTCCATCCACAGCCCCCTTCAGGGCACCGAACACCTTGTTGCCTGTGGTGGTTCTAGCAAGCCCAGCGTCCAGGTAGCAGGTGAAAGCACCAGGCTGACCATCAATGCTCTCCACGTTGAACTCATCGCCCGTCACCTCAACCTGGCCTTCGTACACCTTATCCAGGCCAAACTTGTTGAGCAGCTGAGGACAGAAAATTGCCACATTTGAGATTCAAGATCATATGGTTCAGCTGCCAACAACTTTTATTCTGTTCATGTACATTCACATATGTAAAACATTGTTTCCCCAATGACCCAATTATAGCTGAGAATTCATCTGGAAAAGGTTAACCTGGGTTAAACAAAGGCCATTCATTGACCCTGAATCGTACTAATACGTACTCTGCGGGCCAGCAGCAGACCAGTGCAGTAGGCTGCTGCGTAGTTCGTCAAGCCCACGGAGATTCCGTATTTTGGCAGCTCGTGTGAGTAGGCCGCACACACGATCATATCACCCTCAATCTTGGCATAGGCGATCTGCAACACAACAAGTAATCGTGAATTTACAGCACATTCATTTCCCTGACTGCAAAAATCTGGACCACTCACACTGTACTTCACAAGGCAATATTTCTACTACTGGCACACTTTGTAAAGCAGTTCAGATTCATGTCATGTTGAAGCACCACATAAAATGTGCAACAATACTTTGAATACTCGTGATCTGACCAGGTTTGTTTTGGCTTTGGTCGATTAGGTCAGAAATGGATATTTGCAGTTACTTTTTCACAGAATTCGTCTGTTCAAAAAGGTTGACAAGTAAAAAAAAAAAAATTAGAAGCTGAGCATTATCTTTTTTAGATAAAAACAGGGTCATCTCAGTGTATGCTCACCTGGCAGATAATGTCCCGGTTAGAGAAACGGACAATCATCCGGTACTTGGGTGTGTTGTACTTGTTCTTATCTTGTACGACCAGGCGCTTGCGAGCAAAGAAGTCGGTCTTTCCCTCTGGAAGGAAAACACACTTGAATCACTTAAAACGGATACTTAAAATAACCTGAACACTTGGAGGAAGACGAACAACAAGGTGTCTCACCTCTCCTCCTCCTGAATTTGACCTGGTACCTCTTGAAGTAGGCCTTGTTCTTCACCACTTTAACAAAACCCTGCAAGAGGACATGCATCGACTTAACATCGGGGAATAAACGTTCAATATAACAAAAGTGAGCTCCACGTTAGTCTGCTGAGCTGCTGTGTGCAGGAGTTGGGCTGTCACTGTCACCGGGTAACGGTGGACCCGGCTAACATTAGCTAGCTGAGCCAATGGAGATGAACGACTGGAGTTAGCACAGCCGCTACACAGGGTAGCTGATAAGCAAACAAGCTAATGGTAAACTGTATAAAATGGAAATTCGGGGGTAGTGAGCTCAGAGACTCACAGGTCACACATCAATGAAAACATCACAGTGAAGTAGTCTTCAGACAAAAGGAAACAGTGAGTTTGTGAAGGCAGCCATTAGGCCACGTTTAAGCAGACCCGGGTAAGCATTAGCAGGACTTAATCTAACTTCATCTGAACATCGGCAGCATGTTTTCAAACGTCTGACACCACACAGCACAAAATGTATGTCTTAGGTATGCATGTAGGCACATATTGGGACGAATTACAAACCATTTTGCAGTCTTTTTGTCTCCTTATGAAGGAGCCCGGAGCCAAAGACTGGGGCTTGACTCCGCTGCACTGGAAAAAGGAAGATTGCCATGCGCATGCTCAGTAAATACCGAGTCACAGGATGAGCCGCAGAGACGCCATGCTGCAGAGGTTTAACACTCTGCCCCCTATCGAGCTGGCGCGGCCATTTACCTAAATAACAGCACTCTTCTTTCTTTTAACGAGGAAAAAGTCTGATTCAGATTTAAATCTGGCAAGGGCCAAAAGTGTAATAAATATAAACATAGATATTAAAGGGATAGTGACCATGGCATGGCAACAATATGGCAAAGGGTGACAAAGGAATTTAGTCTCACAGTAATCATCAGCCAACCCTAATTTAGGGTGTTTTTTTTTCACATTTCCCCCTTCCTTCTTTTGCTTCCATACAAACAACTTGTGACTCTTCCAACTGTTCATTGTCCCTTTGCTGCTCCTTCTTTTGCAGCTTTTCCACGCACTGATTTTCAGCTCCTAGCAATCAGACCACACTTTCTGCAGAAATTGCACTCTCTGTTGTGATTTTAAACAGTGTTGGGTAAGCTAAGAATAACTTTGCAAGCTACCAATTACTCTTTGCACTGGAAGAAATCAAACTACAGCACACAAATATTTGCTTTCACAAAAACAGATTTGTCCACCTACTAACAGTATTGTATGTGGCAGATAGATTCACTGGCAATGTGTAAAGATATTATATACCCCTAGGTCCTCAACACAAAGGAGGAGAATGCATTCACAGCATTGAAACAGAACATTTTGAAATATGTATATAATGTCCCTTTTCAGAAACAATGTCCTGGTTGAAGTTTTCAGTTTTCACCAGGTTTATTTTCTGAGGATAAAATTAGTTGTAGATTGTCTACAGCTAAAGGGCCGTGTATTGCATCTATGGATCGAGAACACACTGCTCAGTTCAATGTCATATTTCAATGCTGTGAGGAGAAGAAATTCTATTTACCTCCATATAGTAATGGGTTGGTAATAAAACACAATAAACAGAATTGATACTAATAATGATAAGTGGGAAAATATGTTTGTTTTTTTGTCATTTAGGTGAAGCCAGCCTTTAAAATCAGGTAAAGGAATATATTCCTTCAGAAAACACAAATCTACCACCTCTTGGTTTTTCAACGCTTTCAACATGAGATGAACATAGAAATGTAATGGTTCATTTTTAACAGAAATAAATGCTCATTAACCTGCCTACCCAGAAATGCTTTTCAATTATGAATTATGTTGTTTTTTGTTGTTTTTTATTAATAACGTTTATATTCCCCTTCCCCATCCTAAAGCATATCACTTCCAATGCCAACGTACATACAGTATATAAAGCCTACATAGATACATACATACATATCAATTTAGCAAGAAAAATGACCAAAACAATGATTATGTTTAAAGAGACATAGAGGAGAAAAAAAACTAACAAAACAAACAACATCATCAATGAGATGTATCCATACAGACAAAAAAGGGCAACATATTAGTCTTGTCCTAGACAAAAAGGGCCTGTATCCGGAAAGATCTAGTATCCAAGTTTATGTAAATGAATCCAGTTTTGTGTATCATATCATATCATATAAATTGTCAAAGATCCATGTCTGTAATCTTCTGGATACAGACAGCATCTATATATGTCTAAATGTATCACCACCTACCATATTTTGGGAGATTTTTGCAAGAGCTTAATTCAAACAAAAAAACAGAGTATGTATGTATGTATCTTATTTTTTTTTCTAATTCAGTAAAAAGTCATAATTTCTAGTATTATAGAGTATTTAGCCTTTAATTAGCAGGGGTTAAAAGGTGCATAAGTAGAATGTATCTGGGGCAGACGGGTGTGACTGCAAAGAATACCAGTTTACTCATAATTAACTGAGTAATTTGAAGTCACCTTTATACCTGATGCACCTGCCACATAATGATTTTGACCTTCCCAACACACAGCTACTGTAAAAAGCTAACCTGTCACTTTCTAATATTCTAATATTTTGCAGCATTTATTTTCACTCTATTTTATTCTTTTAGACCCCTAGTGAGTCTTCATAAACCACCTCATTACTGAGAAATGCTATTTCACTGTGTGTTCATAGCTAGCTATTTATATCTGACAGACTGAGATGTAATTGTTGTGACAGTGGATCAGATTGGGTGGCCTACAGTCGCCATCGTGTTGCGAATTCTGGCCTACAACGTCAGCTGCTTTTCAGCTACTTCTATGAGCAGAGGAGTGTCTAACAAACAACAATAGACATGCGTCACTGCTCCCATGTTAAACCTGAAAAGTAGGTTTTATGATTGTTTGGTATGTGAATCAAGGCTGTCTGTTTAGTCACATTTTCACTGGAGCACTTTTGCTCTGATGTGGTTACTTCATCGTGGGTTTCTGTTGACTGCTCTCGCTCAGTGAGAGACAGGTGTGTGGACCTATTAGACAAAGCAGTGCTGCTTCTAGTCAGTTTCTAGGTCATTATACATAACTTAACCTCATTTTTCATTATATATTTATTTAGGTTTATAGTTTCATTTTGCGAGGACTAAGCACACAGGGAGGACAGCGTTTTCATAAATGAAGTGGATTAATTGTATTTTCTACTATGAAGACAACATGCCTCAACTGAGAAGCACCGAGACAACAGTTTGAACCTCGAGTCTGCTCAAACATTTTTTCTCTCAACAATGAACTTTAGGTAAGTTATTCAGGATCAGATACTGATTAGATAGAGCTACAGGAAGCTTGAGACTGGAAGCAGTCATAGTGCTGGGCAGAAACACAGCAAGATATGTTGTGAGTAGTCTGTTACTTGACTTGTTAATGTGAAATAAAAGGTGAATAAAATCTCAACGTGAGGTGATTCATTGTAAACATGGTGAAAGGGTGAGTGACTGAGATGATCCCTTTTCTTCCGTCCTGTTTCCTGACCACATTATATTATACCACCACTGTTCTGCCAACTTTTAATAGAACAAACTTAATGGATTGAGGTGATAAAGTGGTAAAAAGTGTAAAATGTCTAAATAGGTAAGGCTGTTGTAACAGTTTCTATACCTGCATCCCTATTGAATAAATACACTTATCCATTTGACAGATGTCATCCAATCTATGAACCATCCATTCATTGGTCTGTGTGTGTGAAACAAAAGACAGCAGAATAAGAGGTCACTTTAATCACAGTGTAGGTGAATATTATTCTGATCATTGCTAATAACTGTTGGGAGTTTTAGCCTTCAGGAGGCGCTGTAGTCACAACTGAAACAAATATCAGTAATGGGACATACTGACAAGCCCCCTTGATAACCTCAGTGACATATACCAAGCAGTCCCATCCAAGGATGGAAAGTGCTCTTGTTAGGGCCACTGAGTAGGTTTTTCATGTGTTTGCAGAGCAAATACAGTTGCTGGCAGTGATGCTGTTACGGTCCAACCAGGATGACTTGATTGACTCACATTAGACTGCTAACTTTCATCACAAGTTATTTGGTTATATTATATACAGGGTGTCTGCGGGGTCTTAAAAAGTATAAAATCCAATAACATGAATTTCAGGTCTTAAAATGTCTTTAATATGATTTTGACAGGTCTTACAAATTATTGTAATATTTTATTGTTACTTTATAAAGTTACACTTTTCAGTCTTGCTTTTTAATGTGTTTTTTTATTTTTTATTTTTTTTTTGGGGGGGGGGTGTATTGATTGTGCTGTAACAACTACAAACAAAACCAATCCTTCTTACTTCTTTGCTATTTGAGACCTGCAATAGGTCTAAAATTGCATTCATATTTAAAAAAAAGCGTTTTACATTTAACCTGCAGAAACCCTGTATATAGTGAGTGTGCCACATTGCCAATATCAGTGTGATACTTTAAGATAAGGATAATCTACTTCTCCTTCCACCCATCACACCCATTTTCTATTGTTTATTTGGAAATGCTGTGTTTCCTCTTTCTGAATGAATGAAGAAGCAGTGAAATGTGTCTGAAGTGTAGTATCAGATCACGAACACGAGGTGGCAGTGTTGACTCATGTTTGAGCTGAGGGCGCATGCTCCGTGCGATGTAAACATTTGGTAGGCCGCCGCCGTCTGTGTGAGCTCCGCAGACATTTGTGTACACGTATTATACGGTTGCATGGGCTGGACCGAAGAGTCAATGGGAGCGAGCTAACTTAACACTGGCTAGCTTTCAAGTGGAAACCTAGCTATGCTAACTCTGACAAAATAGCTAATGTATTCGGGTAAAGTGTCAGAAAAGCAGGCTTTTTCTTATAATAGTAGGACTATACTTAAGTGCATGGGAAGCAGACGACGTTTGCTGCGGCTGGTCGAAAACGCTTCAAGGTAAAGGATGTTCTTGTTTTTTCGGGCTCTGTCTAATTACTGGAATGGACACTAAGTCATAAAACGACTGCGAATTATCAGTCTTAATGATATGGCATTACATTTAGAAAACGGACGGTGTCAGTACTGAACTTTTGAGTTTGGTTAGTCGCAATATTAGCTTTTATTGCTGTTTGTCAGTGCTGTCACTGAATGTTAAGTGTTGGAAAACTACTTAGTTAATTGGCTGGCTAAGGACTCCAGCTATCGCCTGGAAACACTTTATAATTTAATGGAAGATGAGATGTTTTTCTCTGTTTGCTAAAGTCGACTTCATCTAGGACATATCGCCACTGTTAGCACGTCGAGCTCGTCGGCGTTTGTGGAAGAAAGACACTGTTGCATTTGATGCTAGATCTCCATTTCAGCTCACAACAGCAGCGAGCCATAAAAGGAATAAGAGACTTCTCCTGTGTCTAATGCGTCGGTGCTCTGCTTAACTTACTGCCTGTAAACCAGAATGTTTTTGATAGGCCAGAGCATGATGTGTAGCCTAAACAGAGGATTTAAACTGCTCAGCGGTGGCAGTGTTCAAGCCAAGGAGAAACTGCGGAGAAGTGACTTGCAAGTTGCAGAACCAGTCCAGCTCTGTGACCAATAGTGGACGATGATCCCAGCAAAGTGTCACACCTTTAAAAGTACAGAAGTTAGTGCTGCTTACTGCACTGTCAGACAGTAGTCAGCACCGCCAGGCTGATAGATATGTGAAGTTAAAGTGTCAAGAGAGGAATGAAGGCCGGTGCTGCTGTCTCATGGCTTGATACTGTATCTAACAGCATGTTGATCCAGTAAACTGGGAAAATTGGATGTGGGTTATTGATAGTCAGAGGCAGACCAACACCACCAACAACTGAGTAATACAGCTTTAAACGTGTTCCAATAATCACTGTGAGGAACGGGACCTTCCTGGGGCTCATACAATTCCCTGTTAAAGTATTCATTCTCACCAAATGGAAATGCTCAAATAAAGTATTAGTGCTTCTGAATGTATTTAGCTCATCGCTTGACTAAAAGCATTCAGTTTCACTACTCCTCTGCCAAGTAATGGCTCCAGTCAAACCTGGATCTCCTTTCAGAATTCAGTGCTTCAATTAGCAGGTTTATATAAAATAGAGCTGCAGTCTAGTAGAATGACCGATTAGTCTGTTAGGCTGTTTTCAGCCTCTCAGATATGGAAATGTCATGCTTCTCTTTGTTTTATATCATTAAACTGAATATTTTTGGGTTCTGGGCTGACAGAACAAGACAAATTATAGAAAATGTTCACTATTTTTGACAAAGACCAAACAATGAATCGATAAACTAATTGTCAGATTAATCGATGATGAAATTGATCGTTCGTTGCAGCCCTGGTGTAAAATGTGTTTCCTGGGTGGTGGTCATGGCCAGATGATTCCGTGTTTAACGCTGAACAACTCTTCTCCTTTTTGTTAGTCAGCAAGCTGTCTGTGCGAGAGCAGAGGTGGCCATGTCAGAGGATACACTTGTCAGAACTTGTTGAGGTTACGACAGAAAGCTTCACTAGCTTTGCTCCGACCCCCAGCCTCAGTACAGGAACACACATTAGGGAGTTACAATACACATCTTTTGGGACTAAGAAGGGAGCAGAAGATACGTATGTATTTGTTTTATGATTTGCATGTGCTTTTCGCTTGTATTATTTTTGAATGATCACACATACCGAAAGTTTCAGTGAGAATGGATAAACAGTAAATAGAAAAGAAACAGTTGAGGGACTTTCAGACGCCGTAGTGGCACCTGTTGAAATAAGTGCAAGTGAAAGAAGTTTTCAAGTAACACCACCTATTGGCATATTTCAGGTATCTAAGTAGCCTGTGGAAGACCATACGCCACCCACTGATGTAGACAATGGAGATCTCACACTCATGACTGTGTAGTAGTTTTAGATTTACTATAGTTGTCCCACTATGGCTGATATGTTTTGGCGTGATGGACTGAAACATTTGATTGCGTACACTACCATAAGGTTCCTTTTTGCAGTGCCTTGTTTGTGGGCCAAGTGTAAAATATTAGCCAGTTGTAGTCTCATTTTGTGGCTGCATAATGAAGAATAGCCCTCAGCAGGACCATGGAAGTGCTGATTGTACACTGGGAGAATCTGAGCGTCCCTCTGTGTGTGAAGTGAAAGGCCTTTCTACCTCAGTGTGAGTGTGTTATTGTAAGTCAGGCCTGTGTTTTAATACCCTCACACAGCACATGTTTTCCCGAAGATGGCCAACACCTGCTGGGCTAGACCATTTTGTTCTTCTTCATTGCCTTGAAATGGCACGTGATGAAAGACGAGTGAACTGGAAAAAGGAAAGATAAATTAGTCTTCTTCTTCACCTCAGATGATGGATGTAAAGACCGTATAGACTGAATCTTGTAGTTTTACATTTGTCCATGCTCGAGCGTCTGTGTCAGTCTTTTTGCCTGGTTTTACAGCAGTGTGAGGCATCTGTTGGGCGCTGTGCATTTTGAATTCGGAGAAAGGAAATGCTTCTCTGTTCTGCCTTTGGTCTTTCTCAGTTCCCCAATCGTCTTGAAGTTGTTTAGCGGAGGCTTTCTTCTTTCCTTGCTGTGGGTTTCATTAGCTATGCGCGCTGCATCTCAGGGCCCCTTTTGAGTTCTTGGCAAACAAAAGCAGAAACAATCTTTGTATCCAGGATTTATAGGGAAGCCTTGCTTCAGTTGGCTGCGCTTGCCAGAAGGAACGTCTCCTAAGGTCACCTGGACGTTGGTATCTTGCATGGCCTGTCCGGACTGAGTTTAGTTTGCTCATGTTTTGTTCCCTGACTGTGGTGGTGAGATTGTTTTTAGTCAGTAGACAGTACAAAATTGGATCAAGGCACACCAGAATTTCAAATAATGGTCATCCTTAATCAGAGCTAATTAGAGCACACATAAACAAGGCAAGGTCCAGGCCTGACCTCGCTGGAGTCCACATGGTGTTTAGTCTACGTGGTCATGTTTTCTCTCATGTTTGTTAGTGCTGCATGGTATCGCACATTGGGAGTCAGTCTGTGGAGAAACCTCATTCCCTTACATTCTCTTCTTTGCTTTCAAAGAGAGAGTACAGACACAATGCTAGCCTGGCTCAGTGGTGCAAAGAAAGAGTTGAGCAGGGTGAAGAGAAACATTCATGCAAATTGGGGGCGGTGCAGTTTTTCAGGATCTGCAGTTTTGTTAATGTTCCCATATTAGTAACATTGCTGATTCTTTTTGCAAAGCATATCTAACTCTTTTTTGATATCCTTTTAAAATGCAATTAGTACATTAAGTGATGTCTTCTGGATTCATGTGGCTGTAGGGAAGATTAGATGGCCTATATTTATTGTGCTGTTAGGTCACAGTGTGACTCTGTTAATTCTTTGTGACATAATTGGGTGTATTAATATGTTGGACTATAGACTGCTTTAACTTTTTTACTTTTCTGCTGTTGAAGTAGAAAAATGTGCTGATCAGCATCTGAGTCAGTCTGCACTACACACAACCACTGCTTATGTTCTTGTTCTGTGCAGGATATAAGGATATGTCTGCTACTGGTGTGGATCCTGTTATTTTTGTTGATGACAGTCGGAGTGGCTAAATGCAACCTGCATTTTCAGCCTCATTATTGTTTACTTACTGTTTGTGTGAGCAGTGTACTGAGTTGTATGGAAAAAAACCCAAAGTAGTGAAGGTGCTTTCTTGTATTAACATCACAGTATTTGTGTGTTTCCCTCTATAGCTTCAGGGTCATGGTATTATTTATCCATGCTGGTTTGATGCAGCCACCCTGTAGGATGTTGTTGAGTTGTAATGTCACATTGTTGTTAGTAAATATGCCCCCCCCACAGCGGCAGTTCAGGAACAGGGTGGTGTTATAAAAACAGTAAAGGTTTGGTGTACTTCCTGTCTCCCTCTACAGACCCCTGAAATTGAATGTCTAAGAAGTATACAGCTTTTATATATTTAAACTTGTCTATTAGTCAGAATTATTTAGGGTATTATTTATTTTGCAGTTTATGGGTTACTAGTACCAAAAAAAAGATCATCCAAAGCATGATTTCCTGGCTTTCTGACCTGAGGAGGGTTGCATTCATGCAGGATTTCTCACAAATGTGTGTCTCACTGATGCTCATTCATCTGAACTGAATGGTAATCTAAGCTATAATAAACTGTCAAACTATATTCAGGTGACTAGACACAATTGATAGTACCTATAAATGTTATTGCATTTCTTCAGTCATGTCTGTGTTGTGTGGTAACAGTTAAGTCACTCAGTGTTTCTGTGTGTGTACAGGAGGATGAAAGAAAGCTTAGCTAAGATATTTTCAGTCTGTACTGTAGCACATTCCTATCACCACACTTACCACAATCTTTTCCTCCACCTCCTTTGTTTTCTCTCCTTCTCCTTTATGTCTTCAGCCCTCTGTAGACCTGATACTCACAGAGAAATGACTCATCATTTTAGAGTACGATGCATGAAATGATTGGTTTCCTGCCTGGTGGCAGTATCCAGACTTCCCGCTGGGGTCAACCCAAATGCACACGTCTGTTTTTTCTCAGGTGTGAGGTGAATATCAGATTCTTTTCTTTTTTTTGCTGAGTGCAGAGGTCCACTTCCTGTTTTACACTCAGTCCAGCAGGAGACTTAAGGTTAAGTCCTATCTTTTGTGGAGTACTTTGACCCTTCTTGACAGTATGATCAGCATATGACTACAGAGCAGTGTGTCATTAAATTGGTCGAAGGTTCAGGAGAATGGATTACTGGCAGGGTAGAACGCGTTACTGACATTTCAGTTTGATAGACTTTTCTTTTCGTGGTGTTCTCTGAATGAATACATACTGGATTTGCTCATGGAGTATGTCAGCAGCTGAAAGCCAATGATTTTGGATCATTTGGAATAGCAGGTAGGAATGTGTAGAAGATTCCCCACCTTCAATTTCTTTCGCTGTTAATAGCGGGGATTGTGTTTGAATGAATCTAGAAGAAAAAAAACATCATTATTATGCAACAAGCACTTTGTAGTAACATCATATTTTTGTAGACTGGCCATTGCTGAGCACTGACATTGTAACAGAAAGCACTGTGGTTTTTTTATGGTGACTTGTACAGTCCATTGGTAAAAGTTACAGGTATAGAAATGTGTCAGTTCAGTAGGATACAAATCTGCTTCTTCCTTTTTAAATTAAATGAATTGAAAAAACACAAGTCAACAACTATTGATTGTCATTTAATCCTTACTCAAAACAAATTCACTGGAAAACAAAGAAGTCATTTAAAGTATTGATTGTGGAAGCAGAAATAGACAAATGAATTTGCCAATGCTGAGTTGGAAAACTAAGCAGCTGTATTGATCCAGCCACTACTGGCTCTATGCTACCGGTCCAGCTCTAACAAAACTGATAATGAAGCACTAAAAGGTGTCGGCCTATAATGATGTTCAGTAGCTGCAAGATTAAAAACGATGAAACTCTTTCACAGTTCTACCAGGAATTAGATGAAGTTAAATAAATATGTCCTTCATTGTAACCAAGTTACACATTATTGACAGGGAGAGAAGTTAAGAAGTTGTGTGCTCTGTGACGAGGGTACAAATACTAAATAAATGCTACAAAAACCTGTTGCTAAACAGAGACTATGTTTTATTACTGAATGAATAGGTATTCTCCATCCTCTGCAGGTGGCGACAGACAAGGTTGCTGGTAAGCTGAGTTCTACTCTCTCATGGGTGAAGAACTCGGTGTCCCACACGGTCAGTCAGATGGCTAGCCAGGTGGCCACGCCCACGTCCCTGCAGACCACTACCACCTCCTCCTCTACGTCTCTGTCCTCGCCTGCCCTCTCGCCGTCCTCGCCTGCGCAGCTCAGTCCCGACGATGTGGAGCTGCTTGCCAAGCTTGAGGAGCAGAACAGGTAGGCAGCATGTCTCTGAGGCTTCTTCTGCCCATCATCTTGACCGCTTTTGAGGCCACTACCACGTGTACTGCAGTTACACAGTCAGGCAATCATAGGAGCTGTGTTTGTCGAGTGTTTTAAACCATTTTAAATATTTAAAACATTCAGATATGTGTGAAAAGTTCTGGTTGCTTAGACAGTCATTAATGTGAGATAACTGAGGCTGTCACTGACTTTCTTCCAACATATTAACATCATTCCAGAAAACACGCTTATCAATTTTTAACCTAATTGCTTGTGAAGGGAGAAGGTTGATAGATGATTAATAAAATAATGTACATACATTACAGTTTGACCGTGTTTGACTCGGCCCGTGAAAACCTAAATGCAAGTGTTTAGGGAAGAAGCTCAGACTGTTTCTAAGGAGTGGATACTCACTATGCTATGCAGCTTGTTCTTTTTACCACACTCAGAAATGTGATAGAGCTGGAGGCTGTCATTAGCTTCTTCCAATTGCTCCTGGCCTGTTGCAGACACCATTGTTTATTATATATTTTCCTTAATTATTAATTGATTATTAACTGTATTTATATAATAATATTCATAATTACAACAACAATAATAATGATAATAATGATAATAATAATAATGATAATAATGATAATAATAATAATAATAATAATGATAATAATAATGATAATAATGATAATAATAGTAATA